AAAAAAAAAAAAAAAATGCGCATTTTAATAACTCTTATGATTGATATACGTGATCATAATCTTTTTTCTTCTTTGAATCTAGTGACGACAATTATGCAGAATTGAAACAAATGTATACATAATATATGTAATTAGTACACCTATTGTCTATTGCTAATTTAATTCTAAAATGTTGCATTATTTGAATATTCCAGGCTCGTCTTTAAATATAGATATTTATTCCGACTATGATTAGAATACTAATGAGAGAAAGTGTTATAAGATTTTTCCACATTTTTAATTTTTTTCTTCTGCACCTTTTTTAAAAAAAAAAAATCTATTAAAGTATAGAAAACATTTTTACAAAATTATCTCTACTTCATAAGACAAGTAACAAAAGATTTATTATGGGATTTATTTTAAATCTAAATACGCTCAACTTTTGATTAAAAGTGTATCATTTTGGAGTTAATCTATTATCATTCATATATTATTTATTCACTGATTACATATAACTTCATATTAATGAAGCAAAGGTTTGAACGATAACAAAGTAGTAAAATTGTAACAAAGTAATAAAATTTGTATTAAAGAATATATGTGTATCACAAAACTACAAATTGTCAGAGTAAAATTCTGCGATTCTTAAGAAAAGAATTTTACTCTTGTACGAACGACGTAGGGATCAAAAGTTGGAACAATCTGCAAGCAACGAACCTATCACGCGGCATACGAGTTTAGTGGTTTTGGATCAATAGGGCGGCAATCGAAAAGAGAGAGAGACAGAAGTGTCCATTATGGCATTAAGCGTGCGAGAGGGTCTCTGGTCTCATGGGGAGAAAAGTTTTGGCAATGATTAACCAGACTCCGGGCTGTGGCTTCGATGAGTCGATGGAACTCGCCAGGGTTGATTTACCCCGAATAATTATGTCTCGTTTCGCCAAGTTCCCATGGCGAAAGTTACAGCTACCACTACTTAGGAGTTGGCTAAGATTTCTTCTTTACTTTCCGTGCGACGCATACGCGATGCTGTTTGCTGCTCACGAAATTTATTTTGTTCATTGGACAACTTTTTTATTGATTTTTATTGTTAAGAACTTCTTCCTTGGTAAAACGTTTTTCTCGACGATGTGTGTGAAAAGGCTAAGGAGACGTGTGGGGTGTAACTAGGTGAATATTTTTGTATGAATTGCAACTTTTTTGCAATTTTCTAAAATTTTTACGAAATACTAAGTCATCCCATAAGTAATACGACATTTTTGACGCTGATATTTAAACAGATTCTATGGATGGAAATGTCACTATAGAAGGTTTATAAAAATAGAATAGGAAACTTAATAATTTCCTATTTTTATCTAATAATTAACAATGTGTAGGATAACTATTTAATTTGATATTTTATAATAATGAAAAGAATAGGGAGACTATTATTCGTAATTAATCAATATCTCGAGTTAAAAATAGCCTGCATGTCATTAAAAATTTTCTAAATATTTCTAAAATAAATTAAAACACACCAGTTCAGTTATTTTGTAGTCTCTATTAAAGATTTAATCTACTTGATCATTAGATTCTCAGATCGTATAAACATACCGATCAGACAATTTTTATGCGAAAGTTCAAAACAATTCATCGAATGAATTGATGCAACGTCGTTCACGCTAGCGTTTGTTAATCGAAGTTAGCGAAAAGCAAAGAAACGAAATCGAAAAAGCAGACAGTCTAACGAACCTATTAACAAATCATAGAAAAATCAATTGAGAGCCGAGATTTCAGCATATTCCGGGAAATTCCGGAAATACAATAACATCCGGTTTATCGACAAAATTCGTCCAGTAACTGTAATTGCGTAGACTTTCACTGACTTTGGAAAAAACATCATGCTGCGAGGACATCTCAGCTCTGTTGAATTGTTACGAGGATTCTTCAACTTCTCTATCAGAAGGAATATAACAGTAGGCAAGTCATTTCAAACATTATCATTATTATATTTTACATTGCTCACTGAATATTAATTTTGACCTTAATGTTAACGTATCATTAACCTCTATTCTTCATCAAAAAATTTGTTATTAACCTCTAATTAAATTATTTTTATCAGAAAAAAAAAATGATTTAGAAATGAATCACCGAATAATAACATTTAGAAAGCTAAGTATTGAGTATGCATGTGAATATGCATATATCTAACAATTTAAATTGTCGAATATTGAACAAGGATACGAAATAAAATATGGACATGTATATACGCATCATGTAACTAATATTACAACCATATGGGCAAAAATAAGTGAAGAATAAAGAAGAACATTTTTTTCATTCGAGACATCACGTCCGAGAAAATCGAGTTTTGAAAATTTGTCAAGCATACCTGAGTTTGGCTTATGTTGGATTGATAAGAAATTATTCCGTGCATGAAATAAGCAAACAAACTTTCAAGTTATAGCTTCAATTTATACGTGTATTAAATCAATCTTTAAACAAACATATTCAATGGTCCTTTAACTTTTTAAAACACACACACATACACATATATATATGATATAATTTTAAGTAACATTTTCTATAAAAAGTATTGACTTTACAGTATCAGTCAGATATGCTGACGAGAAAGAAGTACGAAAAGCAGATGGAATGTTCTCCTGGCTAAAGGATATCTTCAAATCAGGTGATAAATCAAAATTTTCTTCTAATCAAAATCTCACTTGAGCCACTTATTTGTCAAACTGATCAACTTTCCACGAAATAAAAATAAGAGGCGTGACTAAGATAGCGTATGCATCCTTTTTTAAATTTAAATTCAAATAAACATTGTAGAATGTTTACCATTACAAGCGTAGCTTTTATTTGACAACATACAAAATGCATGAAATTGAATATCCTTAGAACAATTACATCGGCTTCTGAAATTAATTTATTTATTATTCTGCAGCCAAAAGAATTTTTCTCGTTTAATAGTGTTAAACTTAATTATTGAGCAAATTTATTTTAAACATAAAAAGTTAACTATAAATCAAGTGCTTCAGCGCTAAAAACTGGAGTTAATCACTTTGACTGGCGCGATAAGTGGGTCACAGGTTACTTTAAATATAAATCACTTATCGGACGTTTTCAAAACCACATACACTCGAAAGTAATAGTCGGGATAGTCAGCGCTAATGTAACGCTTTGTAGACTATAGGATCGACGAAGCAGTAAGCGCGATCAGACACGATGCGACATTGCCCGAGTGTTCGAGGGCTAAACAAATGACAATTAATTTCGAACTCGAGGACATGGACAATCGAGAGATCGATGCCATCGAAAAGTCGTGCAAAGATCCACGTCTTCGTGAGTCTTCGACAGAGATCGTCGAAAATCGAACAAACGTCGACAATGGTAATTCAACTTCGGAGTTAAAACTCGATGAAGGGACGAACAAAGACAGAGAATCTGACTCTACTTGGGCAGTATGGAACGACGTTGTCGGCAAACCAAAACGGAATTATCAATCGCCTTTCACGCGTCACGATCATCTAACCTTGACCGATCTTCTGAGTTGCCCGAACCGAAGGATCGTGAGCTACGCTCCTAGGAATACGAAGCCGCCCATTAAAGAGCCGAACATGCCGGAGAAACGGGAGAAGAAGGACGATAAGAAGGACAAGAAAAAAAAGAAGCCGGTGATACGCATGGAGAGCGGATCCTACGAGAACGAAGGCAACGCAGGAGTCACGAACCTGCACGATAACATGGACGTGAACTTCCAATGGCGCATGCGATTCCCTGAGGAATCGGACACGAGTCATCAGTCGGAGTTGAAGGAGAATTGGAGCAAAGATACGCGCCAAATGGAGAACATGAATTCCGTGGTTGGAGACTCGAATTGTTCGAATGATCAAGACGTGAAGAACACTGTCCAAGCAATGAGGAACTTGCAGTTGATGATGAGCTCCGCGAAAGATACCGAGAAGAAGAAAGATGATATTGCGGGATTATCTGACGAGATGACGAACAAACCTTCGGAAACGACTTCGACAGACCCGTTGAAGAATATCAATGAAACAGCGAACCTGGACTCTCTAAAGAAGATACTGAAAACGTCCCCGACGTTGATGAAGGAAACCAGTGTCGATGAAGATTACAACGTTCCCAACAATGCGGACTTCGACGCGGAGATCAACGCGTGGAAGGATCTCGTTTTGAAGTCCAAGGTGCCTCTGGATCCCTCCAAGGAGGACTTTCTCAATTCGGAAAGACGTTCGGAGATGTTGTCGATCAAGCCGGAACCTCCTGAGCCTAAATTGGACGTGCAGGCTGTGCCAAGTTCCAGCGACGAGGCCGCGGCTGAGGAAGAAGACGCGGAGCACGCCAGAGAATTCAAAGGCAACGTGATGAACGTGAAAAGAACCAGCAATCCCACCGACTTTCAGAAGGTCGACAGCAAGAAACTGCATACCGGACCATCTTGCTTCTCGAGGACAAAATCGAGATCGTCTGGTTTCTCGTGGATTCTCAACTCGTTGGACGTGAACGACGTGAACTTGAAGTCGTCGGATTTCTCGACGGATGCCGAAAGTGGCTGGGGAAACTTCCAGCAGACTGTTTCGAGAGGAACGAGTGGAATTAATCGAGAACAATTGAAAAACGAGCAACAGAATAATCTCGTGAAGGGTGAGGGCGTGGAGGAGAATGTCGCGAACATAGAAAACCCGAACGAGAACGTTGTGGTTTCGGAACGGCAACAAGAAACGAGGAATTTCGAATCGCAGGAACAATCGGACAGGCAGTTCGCGGATAGTTTAAATACTGTGGCCGAAAAGGAAATTGAATCTTTTGATTCTTTGAATCGGGATACGAAGATTTACGAGGATTCTGTGCCCGCGTCTTCTCAGAGAGATTCGAGAAAGTACGAAACTGATGAATACTTGAAGTCTCAGACAGATAATTATCAGTTGAATTTTGATTATGCCAATCCGTACGAGGACGACTTCTATCCCAGTTACGAGTCGTTAGAATCGACGGCAGGTAAATCTTTTTTTTCACACTTTTGGGATATTAATTTACTATTCAAATCTCAATATCTGCCTTTGATTTTTTTACAGTTAGTTAACTCTTCCGCCATTAAATTCATTGATGTGTTAGAAATTGAAACTTTTTATTGAGACTCTTTTTCACAATTATTTAACTAAAAAATGTCATAAATCATTTCTTAATCAGATCTTAATTTAATAATGAATTAAAGACACATTGTCAATGTATTTTGAGAAATATCATATTATTGGAATCTTAACATTTTTGCAACTGAATCCATTGCTGCTGAAAAATTTTTTATTATTTGAATCGAAATTGTTCTTTTTAAGGACACAGAATCTTTTCGTTTTGATAGTCCTAATAAATTACTAAACTTTTATTCGATAGTCAGTTGAATAAATATCAAACAGAGATGGAAAAGAAACTAATACTTTTGATTTGAAACGTTGAAATATTTTTTAATTCTGACAGCAACGATAGTTACATAACTACTTGTAATTAAAATGACGAAACTATTTTTTTATTGGCGAATATTCGTTTCAGAACAATCTTTAGAACGCAACGAAAAATCATCCGTTGCAAGCGAACAACAGCAAATTAGCAACAGCAAAGAAATGAAATTTCTCAATGAAATGGAACAACCGGAAAACAGAGGAGAGCATACCACAGACGATAATTATATAAGGGTACCCGGTGATCCTTATCCATACAGTCGAGAACACTTCAATAAATGGCGTTGGCATGAGAATTATGATATCGGTCCTCCAAAAACTGCGCAAACAGAGGAGGTTTCGAATTCGCCGATCGACAACTCTAACACAAGCGTAGAAGTCGATACTCAGCAGCCTACTCGAAAAATGTCGTAGTACTCTCGCTTTCGAGAGAAAAGCTAAGATGATCCTTGAGAAGAAAACATAAGCGTGAGAATATTTGGATCTTGTGGAATTTAAAAGCATGAACTTCTTCTTCTCGTCCAAGATTTATAATATTTTATCACGATTCGCAGTTTATATTTGTGAAAAAATATTCAATATTGTCCATGATATACTGGAAAAAGAATAAACATTTCTTAAACAAAAATTTGGTAATCTGTTCACCAATGTTTTCTTTATTCGAATCTCCCAATTTGATGTCAGTGATCTTAGATATATCTGAGGACAAAAGCATAGTACTTTCTTTTCTTTAGAAGTGAACAACATCCAATTGGCCATGATACATTACAAAAACAAAAAAAAAAAAAGACTTTACGACTTTAATCAGAGTCTGACCATGACTGAAATACAACATCCGTCGAGGATGCATCTCAAAGACTTTGTCGATAAACTCGTCACGACCGCGACTTGCCAGTGTTTTCAGAGGATCGAAGCTTCGATCGAAGTTAGAGGAAACAGTCCCGCGAGTGATAAAGTTGTGATACAAAGCGAATGAACCGGCAAAGCCGATATCTTGGCGATAATTAGTTGCGTGGTGATATGTGGTACGGTTAATATCTGGGTGTCTAGGCCTATTTTTTACGGCGATTTACACCTAGCGTAAATTGAGTCTGATCATTATTAATTGGACAATCGCGGTATTTGCGTTGCATTAGTGCTGAGCATCCCGTGATAAGGTCTAACAAACACTACCGATCAACGATTAATATCGTGGACTATGGAGCTCGCTGACAAATAACGATCCCGGGGAATAAAGTTTCGTACAACATGATCGACTCGTAGAGATGAAATCATGTAGGAACTAGATAAAAAATAATCGTTAAAAGTTTCGTTTTACTGTTGCTCGAAAGAAACGGGTGATTATTTAGTTCTGTAAACAATTACTTTTTAAAGAGGTGGCTGGTTAAAATGTATGGTTGCAAGCTAAATCCATAGATAATGAAATTATAGGATTTCGTGCATTACAAAGAATATTTATACACGTTGATTGTAGTTAGTATTTTCCGTGGCTTCTGGATGTTATACTAGCGCGGATTCGCCTTCAAGAATATCGGTCTCGCGATGTTTTACCGACATTTCAGCTACCTTGAGGTTTGAAAATTACACCTTTGCCGTTATCACCTGTGTAATCAGCGATCATCGACTTTACGCACACCGGCGAACGCTTAACCGGTGATTTTACACTCGAAAGCCTTAGATAATATCAACTATAAAAACTCGATTCGCAAGACTAGGCGACTGTATTTAAAATACAAGCTTGAATCGACTGAAACTGCGATTCTGCTCAAAACACGCAACAGGATAGGTACGAATGTTCATTTCGTTTCTAACGAGAAAAAGTTATCTGTTTCGAATAGAGCCTGCAAAACTGAACGATCCACCCAGTGAAGATCCATCGAGTTCATCGGACTCGATAATTCTCGAGAATTCAGCGAATCCTCCGAGCGATGGAGGCTCCTTGGTTGGAAATGGCGAGATAGGCACCGATCTCGGTGAAACAGAAGATTCGAAGAAAATTAACAAGAAGAAAGAAGAATACGAGCACGTTGAAACTATTCATCCAGAAATTCACACTCAATCCAGCGCGCACATTCCTAAAAAAGACGTGAAAAAGAGTAAACGTCTTCTTCTCACGGATTAAAATTAAAAGAAATAAAGTATGTGGTATAATTTGAAGACACTTTATCCTTATTGTACACAGAGGCAAGCAAGTTGGTCCGAAAGCCTAAGATCGTAATTTCGAAGAAGCGTGAGAAACAGATCAAGGAAGGAAATATTCATGCACAGAGAAACGAAGAGTTGTTATGTACGTATGCAATAAAAATAAATATTTATAAATGGCATTGAATTGTTATTATTTTTTCTTGTCTCAGCGGTAAAGAAAGAGGATATCGAAAGGATATACGAACAGAAAAATTATGCTTACCTCCGACCGGAGGAGATGAAAAACTTGCGGTTGGTTTCGAAACCAATACCTGAAGACACAGATCCAGACACACATCTTCAAAAATCCGGAAAAAAGAAATAAATAGTCCACGGGTGTCTATGTAGCATTTTATTATGAAAAATTAGCAGGAATTACGAATTTATTATGAATCTTTAATTTATTTTGAGAAATGTAAAATTGCGAAAATTTAGAAAATTATTTATATTTGTTATTTATTATTCATTACATTATCATAAATTGTACAATATTTCGTCAAAATTTATTATTAATTTTAGAAATTTCAATGTCAATTATTCCGTCATATGTGTTTCCAATTTTATTAGATGAAACAAATAACGTGACTTTTTAAACTATATTTATATATGATTGCATGAAATCTATTCGTAAATTTTCAAAATATATATAAATAATAAATACCTTAAACCACTCGAGCTGTCTCCATAACTAATAAATTTAAGTTGGTAGCACTGCTATTGTCACATGAGGTTTGTAACACTGTTCCCGCTGTTTAAACTCGGAAATTCAGTTTATTTTCGCGGCTACACCAATATCGTCGTGTCTTTTTCGGTGACGACGTTAATCAACGAACTATGAAACAAAATCCGTAAACAATACGTGTCTCGCCACTATCCTCGCAAATCGTTCAATTCGCGACACGTTTCGCATCGACAAAACCTCTCGCGTCTCGTTTAATATCGCCGTTGTCGCCTCTTCGTAAGTCGGAACTAACCTACACCACGTCTCTGGAACAAGGAACGCGGAACGTGTAAACGCAACGGAACAAACGACGCGGTCAACAATCCAGAATTCAACCTAAACTTTTGGTTCAAGCCCGGTGCATGGACAGTCTTCATTTCTCGATCGTACTATCTAGGTGAGTCTCCCGTCTTTCCTAAAATTACATTGCTCGCTCCCGTAGCCGATTAAAAGCAATCGAGCAGTTGCCGTTCAACGATTCGACGAAATTGCCACACGTGGTGGTTAGCTTAAAAGCCCTCTCGATTCGAGAATCGACTGGAACGTCGTATCGAACGTTAATCCAGTCTCGACGCACCTGTCGACAATCGTTTCCAAAGGGAGAGGGTGGGGGGAACGATGATAAGGTGGAGAAAGATAGGTTAGATCGCTCGAGATCGCTGCGTCGTGTAGTGTATATATACGTATATAACTACAATGAACTCTGGGAAAAATTAAGGTTAAAAAGTGAGAGATTCCTTCGCTGTATATATGTGCATTTGGTCTAATGCTAATCGTACACTCTTGCTTGAATCGTCTGTACCCTAATACAGAGCCAATGTCAGTTTCAAATATAACTGTATCGATGTGCTGAATTGTACCGATACGATATTATTATTTTATTATGAAAAATTAGCAAGAATTATGAATTTATTATTAATTTATTTTATATTGAACATGTATAACATGTTGGATCATACATGTAATTATATATATCGTACATATCTTACCTAAATCTTAACGTATCTTAGCTAAATAAAATCATATAAATCATGTATAAATTTATATGTACATATAAATTTAATCGTAATTAAACTGACTACAAGTTAACCTAACCTATGTTATAAATACTGTAATATATTGTATATATTATATAATTATTATATAATAATAATATAATATAATAATATAAATATAATAATATAATTATTATAATAAACTAATATAGAATTTTATAGTAATAAAACAATTAATATGATAAATGTAATAAACGGACAATGGATAACCTACACACACACACATACACACACATACATATATATTACACTCTAATGAAAGGGATTGGATCTTCGTCAGAAATATAATACTACATACACTTGCGCAATCGTAGAGGGGAGAGAAGAGTACCAATCTTCTTTCTATCTACCTGCTTAGATATGCAGGTTGGAAACTTCGCTTTTGCTCGGCAAAGCAGTAGGTCCAGAGCGAATTGACCGGCGTGTTCGTGCGAACTATCGACCCGTGGCGCGAGATGCGTGCCTACCGGTCACGAATGCGTCCGCCCGCTTGCGGCCGGAGGCTGTTATTTCGCCGCCGGGAACACAGCCATCTCCGAATCGTCTCGGAGCCTATCTAATCATTCAAATCGCAGCAACCCTAAGCCTAATCGCGGTATACGCAACCGTCGTGCCGTTGCCCATCGGTCTTCCTCTTCGGTTCCAGACCTCGACTTCCACGCCAATAACGCAATAACGCGTCGGGGAAT